ATGGATGAAGGGATAGAGCTGAAATTCTGAAATTTTATATTACATATGGAGTTTTCGATACAAAATAAATTGGATGTCACTAATATTACCTCAGGAAACTTCAAAATGTAAGATTTTTAAGGCTTTTTGGTGCTTTCCAGAATAAGGAAAAACTTATATATAAAACACTGAAAGTCTGAAAATTTATTACCGATACAATAAGGGGTTACCATGAATAGGGTTTGGATTAAATACTTAATAAAGTGTGTCTATTTAGTACTAACAAGTAAAAAAGCAACTAGGTTCGGCCGGGCCGATTTTTTAATACCCTCCACCATTTTCAAGGAAAAATATCCAAAAAGTCCATAGAAAAATACCGTTTAAAGGTAGTACTCATTATGATCTTCAAATACGAAATTTGAAACAATTCCGGTTAATAATGTCGCTATTATAACCAAAATACGGAATAAAGGGAGATGCCATTATATGTGAGCTATATGAAGACGTGGCCCTACATGACACTTTTCCCTCATAGGTTGTAGTAGCAGTACTCATTACGAGCTTCAAAAAGGATATTAAAAAAAAAACAATTCCGGTGAATAATGTCGCTAAAATCATCAAAATAGCGAATATCGAGTGGTACCGTTATATGAGGGCTACACGAAGACTTGGAGCTGCACAGACAATTTTCTGTCATAGGCTCTAATATCCATTAGGAACTTCAAACACAAAATTTAAAACATTTCCATTGAATAATGTCGCTAAAATCACCAACATACCGAAAATAGGGAGGTACCATTATATGGGGTCTCTGCCAAAAGTGGACCTACATTGCCCATTTTCAATACCAAAAGTCCTGCAGACATAATATACATTTGAGTAAAATTTTATCAACCTACTTCATTTCGTTCGGAAGCAGTGATTTCCACAGACAGACGTATATCGCTAAATCTACATAGAATTTTATGCTGATCATGAATGTGAATACTTTATTAGGTCTAAAATATATACTTCGAAGTGTTATAAAAGAAATTATAAACTTAATTTACCCTCCATACTTTTTGGGAACATTGTTGCAAATACATATTTTTTGATATACCACGGAAATAGAGATTTTTTTACAGGTAGATGCATCAACGCTTGGGAGCATTGATATGTCAAAAAATTTAAATGATTTTTTAAATATAAGCAGATTTTTATATGTCTTCTTATACTACGTCATTCGGAGGCAAATTTAAATAATTTTTCATTCAACATTTCAAATACAAAAATTGGTTTGAGTTCATTGTATCAGCAGCTGTTTCGATGCGTCTACCTATATTCTTCTACCATGTAAGAAGGTGAAGTCATGTAATCATATGTTTACTATTTTTTTAAATTTATATATTTGACAAAATCTCATTGTCATAAGTTGGGAATGTTAATATGAAATGAGGTTACCTTTATTTCATTGTACCATGTGTTGAATGAAAAATTATTAAAATTGGTTAATTTTTTTAAAAAATGTATCACAACAAAAAACATATAAAAATCTACTATTTCTTGAAAAACATTTTATAATATTTGACATGTCAATGTTCCCAAGCGTTGATGCATCTACATGTATCAGCAGCTGTTTCGATGCGTCTACCTATATTCTTCTACCATGTAAGAAGGTGAAGTCATGTAATCATATGTTTACTATTTTTTCAAATTTATATATTTGACAAAATCTCATTGTCATAAGTTGGGAATGTTAATATGAAATGAGGTTACCTTTATTTCATTGTACCATGTGTTGAATGAAAAATTATTAAAATTTGTTAAATTTTTTAAAAAATGTATCACAACAAAAAACATATAAAAATCTACTATTTCTTGAAAAACATTTTATAATATTTGACATGTCAATGTTCCCAAGCGTTGATGCATCTACATGTATTCCTCTACCGTGTTACAATCGCACACATCTATGGGAGCCCCAGTTTATAAAAATAAATGAAACAAATAGTTGCAGGTCTGGGAGCAGAGTTTCAGTTTTAAGCCCTGTTTCTGTATTTTGATACGAAAGTGAATGCGCAAATAAAACCAAGGCCTATATAAAGTCTGGCAAGTAGACTACCTTCGATATAAGTCTATATTAATGAAGTAAAATAGTATCAGTCGGTGTTGCCGACAGTGTATACCCGCGAATCTTGAACCCTATGTGGGTTAGATACCAGAAGAAACGTTTCGATCTCTACCATCTTTATAACAGATCTTGTGTTTATAGAAAAATTTAGATTTGCCAAGTCTAAATGGAATCGGATATTATTTTCCCGTTGTATGATTTTCATAGATACTCAAAATTTTTGGAATGGTCCAATTTCTACCATCTTTATAACAGAACTTGTGTTGATGAAAATATTGAGATGTGCCAAGTCTGAATGGAATCGAATGCTAATTTTGTGGGTTATAAGCCTCATGAATGTTCAAAATGTTGACCCTTTGTGGGGGTGGTACCAGAAGGAGTGATATATTCCATCTTCACACCAGACCTTGGGTTGATAAAAATATTGTGATGTGTGTAGTTTGAATACTATCGGACACTTATATCACATGCCCTGAAACGGATTTGGTCCAAAGAGACCTAGGGTCTATTTTTATTTTTTTAGCCGTATCAAGTGATGAATACCCTCTCTAGCTATATGGCTGAAGGTATAATCAAGTAAACACGATCATTTTGTTTGTTTACAAACTTTTTTTTTAAATTTTTTAGTTCTACTTTCATAATCTGCTTGATTTACACTATAATTATTTGTTGTGTTGCTCAACGTAATCTATATTTTAGTTCTGACTTCCCTTGAGAAAATATTGATTAAAAAATCCACAATCTGATAATACCCAAAATTGTTTAAAAATCCAAAATTTTTGCTCTGGTAGTCTCCAAAATTGTTTAAAAATTCACATATATTCTTGTGATAATCCCTATAAAAAATATTCAAAAATATTCACGATTAAAGCTTTCATACTTATTTTTGTTTAAATAAAAATCATGTTAACCGCCTTGGTAATCCCTTAAACTTTTGTTTCAAAAATCCTATATTATGGCTTTAATAATAACTCATGAAAAAATCACAATTAAAATTTTTATAATCCTTCAAAGAAATGTTTTTAAAAGTCCACATTTACAGCTTAGAAGCTCTTTAAAAACTGTAATAATGTTCATTGATTAACTAAAATGTTTTCCAATCTGGCATCTCTCCTCTCTCGCGCTCAACTCTTAAAACCGTTTTATTCTCCAATTTCAAAACAAACAAAAACACATTGGGTTTTCCTTCTCCGTTGTTTTTTGATGTTGTTGCTGTTGCCTTTCATGTGCTTGTGTAGGTCAACATATGTATGTAAGAATTTCGCATTTGTTTTCAATATTAACTTACAAAGTAATAAGTTTTCAACACTTGTTGATTTATTCGCATTGTATTCGACGAGTAAAGCGATATGAAAATCAAGGACCCAACGACTTAGGGCAACCAGCCGCTGCTACCGCTCGATCAGCATTTTCATATGTAATAGAGTGTGTGTGAGTTTTTAGTTGTTGTTCATGGTTGAGCAAATTTGAAATTAGGCACGTCGGAGAATATATTTTGGTTGAATGTATGATATACTGGGTTTGTTGTTCCATTTGTTACAATTGGATATCAGTATTGAAGGATTAGTATATTTCTTGTAAGTCGAAAATTTTGATATTGCCGATAACTCATTTTAAAACTTTCACTATCCTTTTTATTGTTCAATGGTACTGTCAATGATTTTTTCAAATAACCTATTAATTGGTATGCTCCAGAACTGCTAGAATCTAAAAGTTTTTGCTACAAAAACCGATTTTTCCCTTATTATACCGGAAAAAGTGGCGAAACTAGTGGTATGTTCCAAAACCTGCAGGAATCTACTAATTTTGCAATTTTATTCGATATCATAGGGTAAAATCGGATACCGTAGTAAAAACGTTTACATTACTGCAGTTGTGGAACAGACCATAGTAAATTCTTGCAGGTTCTGGTAGCACATATTTCTTTCAATATCCCACATGAAAAATGGCTTTCCTTCACATATTCTCGATTCCACTTAAATCGTTCCATTTCTTCACTAAAGAAGGGCATAACAAATTCCACTTTGACCGAACCCAATGTGACTTCAAATTCTTGCTGCTTTCAATTTTACAACACTACCAAATAATTTATTTATATAAATATGTATTTTGTTGTCAGTTAGTATTTGTTCACTGCATTTGATATATTCCATGTTTCTTGGCCAAATAATGTACGGAACTAGACGGAAAGTGTGATTAGTACGATGGTAGTCAATGTTTTTTGTTTTTGCTTTAATTGGCTGTTTAACTTTGAAATATTAATCAATCGGATATATATGAAATATTTGGAACAAGATCAATTGAAGATTACACAACACCAGCAATTTGATATTAGAATGTCCGAACATATAATAGGACTTCAAATTTGATTATTTAGAGGTCATTTGAGAGGCATTGGTTAGACTTTTTGAATGTTTGGGCCTTGTAATAAAATTTGTTGTTTGATTGAACTGAAAGGAATCTCAATTGTAAAACAGCGAAGTATTAGGAAATTTGTTAAACAAATACCCGTGAGGATATCTCTGACAGATTTGTAGACATTAATGTACTTAAATATTCATACATTTTCCTTTAATGACCTGAGAATGAGCTTTTCAATCATTCACTTTCGAAAAAAACTTTATTATAAAACAACCAAAAAACTCTTTAAAAATCACGATAATAATTAATTCTGATAGTTTTTTCAATACATTTATATTTCTCAAACAATAAGCCAATAAATACTTTTCTAAACATATCATAATTCTACTCATAAAGTTCAGATTATTGTAAATATCTTTAAAATCTGAGGCCAAACCAATTATTTGCAGCGCCATCTGTTTTTGCATAGCATTAATTTATTACAATGAATAGGGATAGTTCACAATAACCTTACTCTCCGTTAGCTATTGTGAATGACTTGTCTTAATCATCACGGAACAGCTGATATAAACAAAATTGGTTTCTCTTAAGGGAGGGGAAACAACAGCAAGCTTACTCTGGAAGTAACAACATTTAAGAAGAATTAACTAAATTCCCAAGCAAAAAAGAAAGACAAACATGGAAATAGCCAATACCTATTACAGTAAAGATGAATATGTGGAGACGGTGAGTAGAACTTGGTCAACGTTGGGCTTTCAGGCACATACATAGATGACCTCATCATAAATAAGACACGCCGCTACTAAAACTCTTCCTTTCCAGGCATCGGGCAATAAAGTAAGCCGTCAAACTGTATTATGTGGCTCACAGAATATCGTGCTCAATGGCAAGGTTATTGTTCAAAGTGGTTCCATTATACGTGGCGATTTGGCCAATGTACGGACAGGGCGGTATTGTGTTATTAGCAAAAATGCAGTCATAAGACCACCATGTAAACAATTTAGCAAAGGTATTGCCTTCTTTCCCATGCACATTGGTGATCATGTGTTTATAGGGGAAGATGCTGTGGTGTCGGCGGCAGTTATTGGTTCGTTTGTGTACATTGGAAAGAATGCAATTATTGTAAGTACAACAAAGCAAAGAATCTTCGATAAGTTATAGTGAATTAATTCTTTTTTCACCCCAGGGCCGACGTTGTGTCCTTAAAGACTGCTGTATCATCGAAGATGGTGCTGTCCTGCCACCGGAGACCACTGTGGGTAGTTATATGCGTTTCACAGCCAAAGGCACCATTGAGGGTGGTCAAGGCAATCCGAATTTCGTGCCAACCGCAATGCAGGATCAAATGATAGACTATACCAAATCATTCTATGAACATTTTGTTCGAGCTCCAGCGGCATGTTAACGCAACGAAACACATTTCCACACAAAATGAATAATGTATTTATATTTTTCTTTATTTCAATAATTTATTTGTATTTAATACATACCCTCCCACTCACTACTTAATAAAAGCCTAAATTAATCAATTATTCCCGTTTCTACTTCATAAGCTGCATGACCCATTTCGAAGAGGGGTGCCGATAAACCCGTCCTCCTTGCAATCTCTTCTGCTGTTTCTTCGGAATTATTTAATGATCTGGGATTAATGTTGGGATCCATTAGCAGTGTTGTGGCTGTATTGCGGCAATTTGAAACTGTAGCGGCCACATGTAATGGTGTCTGTTGTCCATCGGATTGGGCATTAACATCGGCACCATGTTGCAATAGCAGGGCAACGCTTTCGGCATGACTCCATTTGCACGCCGAATGTAATGGAGTCCAACCTAACTTAGTTTTGGCATTAGGATTTGCGTTGTATTGAAGTAAGAGTTTTGCAATATCGGTAAAGTTATTATATGCCGCTCGATGCAATGGTGTATAGCCATCATCATCTACCGCAGACACCGTTTCTGGATCAAGTCTTAGAATTTCCCGTATTTCGTCATGCTTCTTTTCATTTACAGCCCACAAAATCATGCGTTCCAAGGTGGCTAGATGAGAATAAGAAGAATATTAAATTAAAGACATTTACAATAAAATTGGAATCAAATCCAACATAGATAATCTGCCAAATCGTTTAGTGTTCTGGCCCTGTTTCACATGTATTTGCATGCTTTAAATAATAAATAAGTAATATTTTGGCTGCGGTCAGAACACTAAAACCCTAGTCAGAACGTTGGATTTGCAACACCTAAACTAAATATTTGACCTTGTGTATTTTAATATTTTTATACCTTCTGGATTTTTGTCTTCTTCAATCAATTCATCGGCATCGTCATCCCAACCACTGACGTGCATTCCTTTCGGTACCTTGGCGTACCTTAATTTGTCCAATTGCGATTGTTCCTCGTCGGAGTCATAGTCACCCATTTTATAAAGTATATTTAATTTAATAAATTCCAAAAATAATAATAAATATTTACTAAATGTTTTAAACAAAAAAGTTTGATTCTGCTGTGGTAAAATACAATAATGACAATTCACAATGGTGTGTGTTTACCTTCCGTCATCGAGAAATTTCCATCATTGGCGTTGTTGAAGAAAAAACACAACAACGGCTTCTAGCGTTTGAATTTAAACGTTTTGCGGCATTATCAGGATCAAACATGAGTAAATTCATGAGATAAATATGGCAAAACCGTTATGTGACGTAAAAACGAAATTATAAGAAACTGAACTGAAACACGGTAAGAAATTGAAAATTATAACTTGTGGGTTGAATTAAAAATTAAAATGTTAATTATCTTTAAACTCTATGATTTGTGGTCCCTATTTATGCCTACAAAGTTTTCCGCAAAGAAAGGTGAACTAGGTGTGTCTGGTTACCCTAAAAGTTGTAACAATTTTTACAAGTTGTTAAAAATAGAGCGATTTGAGAGAACAAATCACTTGCAACTCTTCTTCTTCTCTTTTTAGTGATTTATATTTGGACAAGCAATTAAAAAACATCTTTATATTGGAAATCGCAAGCGTAATTGTTCTGTTTTAATCGCCTCATTTTTAATTTCTGCATGATTAATCTTTGTTTAAGACGCACATATTGCTTTGTTTTGACAAACCAGCTAATTGCTTGCAAGTTTTTGCAAGCACAGTTTTCTTGCAAAAGAGAATAAAACTACCTTACTCTCTCAGAAAGAAGTTGCTGGACAATTCCTGCAGGAAAATTCCTGAGAAAGAGTGATATCAACCTCATTCAACTTACTTTTCTCCATTTCTTTCCTATTTTCTCACCTTTCAATGAGTCAAACTTGGTACTGTAAATGAAGACCAAAAAAGGGAATTAAAGGAACTACATGAATGAATGAACAAACGGTATCTAGTTCTATAAGTTCCTTTTATTAAATAATTCTGCTAAATCAGTTCGATTCAACACAACACTGCAAAATTAAATAAATAAAAATAAAAACAAACAAAACAAATTTAACTAGTTACAGTATCAAAATGGGTGACGAAAATAATACAGCCATCGATGAAAATCGCAAATTACAAGATATTTTTCTAGAAGCTTGGGATCAATATGAATTCTTGGATGAAACAACCATTGATACAAATAGCAGTGAATATCAGGTAAGATTTTGCCGGAATATTCTTTGCGATTAATTGAAATTTAATACTTTGTTATTGTTTTTTTTATTAATTTGTAGAACAAAGTAAAAGATGGCATTAAAAATTTTGAATTGGCTACCACCATTGTTAGCCAAGTTAATATGTTTAGTGCAAACGAATTCATAGATGAGGTGCCAACCGAGTCTTTGCAGTATTTGTTGTTACCATTTTTCCTGGGCAAGCTGACTTTAAAGTGTCACAAAGAAGAACGTTTGGATGTTCTGAGAAAAGCTGAAGTGTATTTCAAGTAAGTAATAACTTGGGAAAATAAGCGGTGCATCCTTATCTTATGTGCATAATTGATATCAGTTTATTTGTAGTTATTTTTTTAATGATATAATTATTATTATTATTTTTTTTTTGTTTGTTTATAATTGATTTGATAACTTGGCCCTGAAGATAATCTAGATATCTTAAAAAGAGATTCGACAACTAAATGTTTACACATGCAAAATAGTACTTAATTCCTCTGAATCACCAAGGCATTATTATCATTTCAGATAATGCAAAAGGGCCCTAAGGTGATTGCTAAATACTCTTCAAAATAAAGCGTCAACTTTCTGACAAGAACAAACTATTGCCATTGAAAATATCATATTCGATGTATTTATAGCTCAATGTACCAAAATTCCATGAAGAGAATGTCTTTAAATTGACAAAATACTATGAAGTCCCTAATCTCACTGATTCTAATCCTTTTTTCTTTCCTTGCAGGGATTTTCTACAGCGTTGTCAAAATTATGAATTATGTGATGGTCCGAAAAAGAATACGGATGAGGAGAGTTCTCAAACAAGTGGTTGTATAGATACAACCCAGCAGCTGATAGCTTCCGCCGTAGCGCGTAACAATAAAATTGCCCAGTTTAGACGCAAGAAAGAACTTGAAGAACAAATAAAAAAGATGCGTGTTGCTGTACGCAGTGAATCGGTCGATGATGAAATCAAACGTAATTTCTTTCTCAACTTCTTGCAAAAGAGTATTATTGAGGCGAACGAAGAATTGCAAGATATCAAATTGGAAAAGGGCGTTGTTGAGATGAGAAAACAACGGATGGCTGAATTCGGCACCACACGCATGGATGATTGTATTCTGCCACCGGGTAGTGTAGCTGGTCCCGGTGTACCCGCAATCGGTGGCCCCAGCGGACATTCACATAGTCATGGGAATGGGCATCCACATCATCATCATCATCATGGTGCAGCTCCCAAACCTAAACCCATGCAACCATTTATTATCACTAAAGATGCCACACAAAAGGCGGTCTTCGGTATGGGCTATCCCAGTTTGCCAGTCATGTCGGTTGATGAGTTCTACCAACAACGTGTACATGAGGGTATATTTCCCGATGAAGAAAAAATGGCTCGTATCAATGCCGAAAAAGCCTTGGCCGCCGCCCAAGATCCCGAAGAAAAGGAGGAGGAAGAAAAAGCCGCCATGGAGGAGAAAATTGAAAATGATGATCCCGAGAATTTGGAACGTATGCGTCGCATGGACGAATATCGGGATGTGGTTAGACGCGGTGATGGCAATCGTCACAATCGCAGTTAAATCTTAAATAGAGAACACATTATCTCATCACAATAAAATTAAAATTATGGAAGATAAGCCAAATAGCACCCACACACATTTTAAACATCAAGGTTAAGAGTTTGTTTCTCAAGCCTTTTTCTTAATATACAACGCCGCTCAATGTATGGAGTTCTAAATTAACAAGTTTATAAAACTTTAAAACGAACAATAAACCTATTGCGTTTAGTACTGATGTAGATTTCTGTTTTTGTTTTCTTATTTTTGATTTTATGTTGGATTGTTAAAAAGTTTTTTATACAGCTACATAAATGTATACAATTATTTATTTTTTTTTTTTTTGCATTTTCATTAGAGGGGAAATTTTCCCAGTAAAAATTCGCAAACTCCCAGTTCCTCAAATGTTGAAATATTTTTAATTTCGCTTTTAATTACTTGATATTGGGTTAACAAACATATGCGATGAAGGCAACGGGTGTCCCACAGCATAAATACATAACGTTAAGCTCACTAGAAGGAACTATTGCAAACATTCATTCCACAGTTCCAAAAACAAATTTATCCGAAAGGATGAGAACATTGAGTTCTTGCTTTCAATCTAGCCATTAAATTGTCTTCTGTACCCTTGTAACATTTTAATGATCATGACCAGTTTCAACATCATAGAATCGGCAAAAGCTGCAACACCATTATCCGAAAAAATCAAGTGACTACTTTTAAAAATAAGAGTACAGCTCTTTTTAACTGGGGTAAGCATACTGACTGGACACTGCAATATCAGATATTTGACTACTGACTACTGTAGACCATGGTACAAAAAAAAGGTAAGGTAAAACTACCAGCTGCTAACAATTGTACCATGCTATAGAATATGTGAAGATGAGCTAAAGGCGATTAAACACCAAGTATGCAGTTGGACCAATTTGGCATGGCCATGCCCGCTTTCTGTCAGTTTTATTCAAAACCAGTAAAGAAAACCCAAAGTCGCGCTGGACCGACTTTATAATAACCTGCACCACTGTGCATATAAAATATAGGGCTACATTAAACAAATATATGTTTTTATGGGAATTTATGAGAATCAAAACATAAAGCAGATATAATTTAAACCCGAAAGGAACTATTATATTGCAGGTGTATGGTCAGTGACCATACTTTTGGTCGCTACTGTGCGTTTGAATTTTAAATTTTTCGGCTAGCGGTACACAATATGTACATTGGTGCATATTAACAAATACATGCATACGTGCTGCCGCTAGCCAAGCACTTTCCAATAAATCCTGGAATATTCAACAGCTCTGGCAGCCCAAAGCCAGAATATTCCCGGTCAGTTCGTCAACCATCTTTAGAGCGACAACATAAAAATCATCGAGTGCCCCGTGAAGCGACAAGTGCCCGCGAAAATCATCGACAAGTGCCCAGTGAAAAAAGAAGTGACATTTTAGTTTATTTTTTAAAATTACATTACACAACATTACATTATAAAAAAAAACAACATTAACATTGTACAAACACCAAACAAATTGAATTACAAAATTGTACATAATTAACATAAAATAAATTCTAAATTAGACAAATCAATTTACAACAAACAAAAATTATACATTAAACGAATGAAACAATTGTACATACACACAAACAACAAAGAATTGAATACCAATAAAACAACACATGAAATAAAATTACAATTAAATATCCAATAAATTATACAAAAAGGTTAAAGGTAAAGTTAAAAACATTTGGTCCTTGACGAGCCAGATTGTGTTTTTTAATAAATAAATTAAAAAAAGTGCAAGTGAAGTGAAATTAAAATACAATATAAAAATTTCATAATAAGTGAACTGACTCATAAGTGAACGGTACTCATAAGTGAACAATAAAAATTGAACAACAAAAAGAAACCAAAGCAAACAGTGAGTGAACAATAAATCAAAAAATGAAAATACATTCAACAAAAGTGTTATAACAAAAAACAAAGTGGAAAAAAAAGACATCCAAAAAAGAACAAAAAATAAGTGTTTCAACAAAACAGTAGACCCTGGCAAAACACACACACATGCATACGAATACAGAACAGTGATCAGTGGAAAGCAATAGTGATAAAGCAACAATGTACGAATGAGAGACCAGTGGAAAAATTAAAAAAAAAAAATAAATAAACCACAGTGGGTCCAAACAGAAAAAATATATAAAATTTATTAATTTTATAATTAAAAAATAATAATAATAATAAAAATAGTGAATAATAAATTTATTATATCCACAGAAAAATAACAAGCAGCAAGCAAAACGACAATTAAAAAGACACAACGGTTCGGGTATAACAAACAAAAACCAACAAAACAACCCAGACTCAACAGAAGGAAGAAGAAGAACCGAGGGGTAACACAACACATTCCCAACTTTACAAAGAGAGGCAAAGTGAGTACGAATGACATTTTTTTGTGCTTTTGAGCGTGGAATCGAGAAAGGATTGCAGTGTGCGGCTAAATTTGACACCGACACTGTGCCTTTAGATGATAGAAACGCTGTTTTCTACATATAATTTGACACCCATTGACACAATTGACCCAAACTCAACGTTATTTGGGATCTTGGACTGATGTTGACCCTTTATTTAGACCTGGGGAATACACAAATACGTCCTTATTTACACATACACACAAACATCTAGATTTCTCTCAAAAAATAGTTGGAAATTGTGGAAAATAGTTTCCAAATTATGGAAACTAACCCGTAAATTGTTAAATTGAGAACATTTTATGGAAAATTTGGAATTTCTCTCCGTCGTTTTGTGGAAAGCTGGAAAGTTAAGACTCTCTTTTGAAACTTATTTGTCTGTCCGTTTACAGTGGGACCTTTGACAAATCAACACACCCTTATTAAATATAAAATTTTGGTGCCATTTTGAAAAAAAAAAAAAAAAACTTATTTATTTACATGTTTTGGAAAAATCAATGCTTGTTTTTGGAAACTTGCCCTCTCGTTTTGTGGAATAATCCATTTACATTTAACTTGCGTTCTTGGAAATCAATTTTGGCGCAAATTATGGCGTCATAATTGCGGTACAACAACTTAGAAAAATTATCAGACATTTTGCTAAATATTTTACATACCAAAAACAACACGAAATCTACGTGGAATATTATGGCGCAATTTTTTGGCGTCATAATTTACCTATACAAATAACCTTGCTGTCGTACATATTTTGTGTGGAAATTTTCTTTTGAAAAATTGCTGGTTACCCCCTGACACATACATACATCCACAAGAAATATTTTGCATCAACACAGACACATCGGAATATCACTAAATAATTATAAACGCCATTTTGAGAAAAAGTTATTTTGGGAATTCTTGGAAATAAGACCTGTCTTTTAAACATACAAGAAGTTATCATAAACTTCTTTTGGCGGAAAAGCACCAACATTTTTAAGGTTAACTAACCTTAAAAATTGCAAAGTCAAATTTTTTAATCTTACATATGAACATAATTACTTATGAGGCTGTGAATACATCGTCTTATCTTTTCTGGTATTTTTTCTCAAAATTTTTGGAAAAAAAAAAAAATCCTTATCACTTTTAAATCATACATTTCATCTTGGGGTACATAGAAAAATTTCTGGAGAGACACTTTTACATTTATGCGTATTTTTTTTTTTGGATTTTCGACAAAATTATCTACTTTTTGGAATTTTGATTGAATGAACAAATTTGAAAACTTAAGATACGATTTCTGACTCAACAGTTTTTACGAATAAGTCATTTTTGTCGAAGTCTCAAAAAATATATTTTTTAAACAATTTTTTAAATATTTTTGGAAACGTTTTGGAATTTTTATTCTGGTGAACGGCTGGCACTTGACCCAAAAATATTTGCTGATTCTCTATAATATTCTAAAAAATCGGTGCTGCGATAATCTAATCTGCGACCCACAATATTTCTTTTTATGAAAGAAAAAATATATCTAAAATTTTAAACAATTTGGAAACCTATTTGCCGCATAAATTACTAAATATATCACAATTCTGTGGAATTACAATTTTTGAAGAAACTTGGAAGAAGAAATTGCCAAAAAAATTATTTATCCAAATCTAGCGTTTATAGAGTATTTGTTGACTCAGACAAATATTCAAAAGTTTTTTATATTTGGATAATTTCCCATTGAATTTGCTGAAAAAGTGAACCCTCGCTTGCAAAAAAAATTAAATTTTTTGACCCAAATTTTTTTTGTTGTCAAACAGTTTGCTGGGAAACTCCAATACATGTAAATTTTTTTTGGTTAACTCTTTTATTAAAAAAAAATTTGTTTCTACACAATAAAATCTTCCTAGAATTGGAATTCAGCGATTTTATTGTAAATTTTTTGATTTTTCTCTTTGAAAATTGGTACTTTTTCGTGGCAACCCAGCACACATCTTTTCTGCGATTATTTTTTGAAAATTCTTAAATAGTAAAAACGGATATTTTGTTTGAATCTGGCCATTATATCGTCGATTTGACTGACCCTTCTACGCAATACTTGCTATTTTCAGAAATAATAATATAAATGCTTATTGATTTGCCGAACTTGGATTCTCAATTTATTTCGTCGAAATTTTTAATATTCTTCTGACCTCTTGAAACGTATTTGCTAGCAAGTATTGTAAAATTTCCGCATTCGAAAGCGCGATTCCCCATTAAAAATCACTTGTCGTTAAAATTATATTTGGAAAGTAACATTCAAGGTTTTGCCAAGAAAAATCATTGATTTGTTTGTATCCAAATACAAGAAAGATCTGTCCTTAATCGGCCAATTTTGTCAAATTCTTGTCATACAAAAATTTGTTCTAAAGTCTGGCCCTTGATACAACAAAGATGTCTAAACTCAACCGTGAGAAATTTGCAAATTGCGTGAATGATCTGAAGGATTACGCATCAATTGTGAGCATCGCAGGCACAGATGACGACATACACACATTGGAGGCATCGAGAGTGGAGCTAAATTCATTTTATGACCAAGTAAAAAAGGCGTATTTAGAATGCCGAGATTTTATTCCAGAGGAAGGAGAAAAACCGGTTGATAAAACTAAACTGAGGACCCACTACTTAGAGGCAATCGACACTTACAAAAAGGCGATAGGAATAATCAATGGACAAATCCAAAATCTCAAAGAAAATGAAGCAAAGGAAAAACTCAGAATCGAGACCCAATTTTCTCAAAAGGAAACTGAATTTACCCCACCTTCGAGATTA